CTCTGTAATTCAAGGTTGCCCAGGGGCATTGGTCAGTTGAGTCGGATGAACAATCTGACAATCTGCTCCCAGACCCGGGCAATATCTGCCTTGGTCTTCGGAGAGGTTGGGATGCCAAAGCATCCAGCATAACCCCTATTCTCGTGTCTCACGGAAAGCCAATGGCTCTGGGACTTGCAGAGATTGTGTAGGCTTGTAACCAAGCGCACTGCGCATAGGTTTGCAGTCACTGTCTCTTCAATTGACTGACTTTTGAGCAAAATGCTTGTCAAGATATCGGTGAAGAGGCCAGGGAATCTTTCCTCGTGAAGGATGTCAAGATTTTGTTGGTTGGATCTAGTTAGAGTATTGCATACGGTAATCTCATTAAACAAACAATCAAGTTTGTTTACTAATCCTCTGTAACAAAGGAGTCATCCTCTACTCTATTGCTCCTACTTCAAGTAACCGGTTACTTCGAAGTAAGTATTATACTAATCCTAACCCAGAACACCATATCAACAGAGGCATTTGTGTGATTTTTTATTTTGTGATTTGTGCCCCAAGTACTGAAGTCAGTGAGAAGGTGATGCTAGCAATAGACTCTATAGTAGGAGGGCTACAAGCCAGGATATGTTGAGGATTTTATGGATTTTATTGGCCTATAGTTGCACATGCACAGTGCTACTGATGGCCTTGTGGTTGAAGTTTGAAACTCAGCCCAAACATCGGCATGCCTGCCTTAACAGGGCAATGGGCTTATCAGCCAATCAGCATCTCTCTCCCCTGCTGCACGGAGTTGCATCCGCCTGGAAATTCCAGGTGGATGCAACTCTGCACAGTGCACGGGCGCTTAATGAGTGCTTAGTAAGCAATGTAAGCCCGTTACTTTTCTTAAACTGGCTTGTATGGACCCGCAAAAATGCGGAGAAATCAGTGAATATTCTCAAAAACATAGACAATGAATTGCAAGGCTCCAATTGAGAAGGAAGCTATTTCAAGTTACACCTCCAATACATTTACATTGGTTGCTGTATCATCAGCCCAGTGCTTACAGAAGCAATACATCAGGCTCTAGTCACCGTCTCTGTAGCACACACTCCCATAGGCGTTAATGTATCTATCATACATGCAGTGTTTAGTCAGAGGGGCCCCAGAAGAGGTCTAAGAGTGTGCTGTTCTGTGTATTGCCATATGTAGTAGGCAACCTGCCCAATAAGGAAACCACAGCTGATACAGGGCAAATGGGCTTGTTATGAGCTTGTAAAAACGTGTAGAATCCTGATAATATAAATTGACACTAAACACGTACAGTTGGTCATCATAAATGACACAGGTCAGTGATAGATATGATACACAAGCAATGATATGCACACTAGTGGTCAAATTGCCCAGTATTGCTCATCTTTGCTGCATTACAGAAGCAACTGACATGTACAAAGTCATTCAACTGCATGAGTACATTTGTCCTGATGATTCAGTGAGTATCTGGAGCAGACAGAGGTGCTTTGACTTATGCAGAGGCACATGTAGATTTTTTTGTTTTGCACTTTCCAGCCCAACCAGCCACTGTAAGTGCTTAGGAATATTACTGTATACTCTTTGAATGAAGGGCTGTCAGATGGGTATACTATGTCTACTATGGTTACTCACTGATGGACTCTATATGCAGTCTACACTGTGAGCACTGGCCTCAGCAGCCAGCCAGCCAGCAAGTCACATGATGAAAGCTGCCAGTTGCCATATTGGGTGCCACTGGAAGGCGTTTCATGGGCCCTCACCCCAGGACAGAGCAGCCAGCTGCAGCATTTATTTGTACTATATCGGGCCAGGATCTCGGCCACCTGCAGTACTTGGTCATCGCACTCTCTCTCTACAACAACTGCTCCTATAGAGTGGAAATAAATAGTAGCATGTTTCTATACATCCTCTTAATGCCTGTGCATATTTTGAAGCCACCCTGTTGAGATCAGGGCTCAGAAAAAACATTCAATGGGATGATGTCCATTTTCAGTAAGCTGTGGCTGAGTCTCCCAGGCCCCTCGCACCTCACTCGAATCCTATGCCAAGCACCCAACAAAGAGTGTCAAATGAATATTTGAATATATCTACAGGTTGATTCGGTGAACGTACAGTGGGGAGGGCTCGTCGAGTGCTAAGGTGGCCGAGATCCCGGCCCAATATAGTATCTGTTGGTGCAAGTTACATTGTGTGGGATTTTCAAATCTTAGGTCCCAGTGATAGGACATTAGTTAGTATCAGTTACTTATCTCTGCTTATCTGGGCCTCAAAAAGTCACGTGCATTCCTTCCATATCGTGCCACTGTGAGGTGTTTCATCCACTCCAGTCATAAGAACAATACCTTTGTACCTCAGGGATCATAACTTTCCAGCTGCACCAATTGTCATGCATGTGGCATGTTGAACTGTACACTGCACAAGAGGCAGTGTCTGTCCCGGTTGATGTAATGGCACAAGAACTCTACTCCTCCAGCATAGGTGACTATGGTGTTTGTAGTAGGTAGAACTGTTGTGCCATAAATATTATGTGAATGGATCAGAATGATTACTGATATTGAAACTTACATTGAAACTTACTAGGTGTGCAACTGAGGCACATTGGGCTCGGTGGCGGCGGCAAGGCACTGGTCATTAAGAGCAGCTTGGGAGTGCAGATGCCCAAGGGATGGGCAAAATTGGCTTCCACTCAGTGTACCCATTTGACTATGACCCTCCAGATAATGCTCAGGGCCAATAGAGGGATCCATGCAAGAATAATAAAGCTGAAATGATGATGAGCATCTGGTGGTTTGGAGTGAGAAAGAATTTACTGAACACACAGCCTTACTTCCCCAGCATGTGATTTCAGACTTCTTCTAAATTTGGGCCTCATTCTACCCCTTTATAGTGCTTGTCCCCTTTTATACATCAGGCAATTATTCATTCTCCATTCATATTCTTCATCACTATCACTGAGTACTTTCCCTGAGTAACTAATTTCATTGTCTATATTAGCTTCATCATTATCTAGGTTTTCAACACAATTTGATCCTTCGGTCTGTTCTCTTGAGACTTGATTTGCTTCATTCAGATTATGTTCTTGAACATTTAGTTGACCACTATTTGTGCTCTGCTCAGTCAGGCAATGTACCACTCCAAAAGCCATATGCCACTGCATGATGTGGTGGTTTGGATGATGTCAGGATTGATCAATATATAGAAGTGTTATTCCTCTGCACACTACAACAGTGTTCAAATACATACTAGAAGTCCTAGAATATTCTACCACAGAACAATAGCCCAAGTCAAGTCCAACTCTCCCCACTCCACCCCTGTGATCCTGCACTTTTGTACTCCTGATTCTCCTTGATTGCGCTCTCAAGATAGGCCATGTGAGTGTGCATCATTTCACTTTCATTGTGTATGCACCGCAACTAGCCCCAGAGGTTCATATTCCCCCAAAGCCCTGAATTTGTCCTCTTCAGCGGTGTTGCGAGGCACCAAGAATTGAGAAACCAATGGATTGGGAGTGGAATGAGGTTGGAATTGTACAAGGGAAGGGGCAGGAGTTCTGACAATGGTTGTGTTGGAGCATGCAATCATGGCGAGCTCGCAAGCTTGGCTGCGATAGTGCCTGGCCAAAATGGATAGGGGGGGGGATATATACTAACAAATTTTAATGTACATACCTCACGCAATTTCCCTTCGGGCATTGTCCACATCCGGGACACTCACGCTTGCTGTACCGGTTTTTGCTTGTTCTCATAGGTTGTCATGTCGGAGATCACCGGCAACACTGCCCCCTCAACCAGGGTTAGATTGTGCTCGCTCCCTGCCCAATTCTGCCTCACTGCAAGCCACATCATCACTTCAGGCACCCCCTGAACGGGGCTATTAACTGCCCCAAAACCCACAGTCCATCCCACCCTCTGGGCCATGCCCACACATTGTTGGAGTCTGGGCTTAGATTATGTAGGATGTATCATCCCATGGACTACCCACAAGGCCCATGACTAACAACCTAATGGACAGAATGATGTGGCTAAGATAGGCCCCATTCAAAACCCACCGCATCACGTGCCACCTTCCTGTAACGCCTACACCGGTTCTGGCGTGTAGAAATGTGTAATTTGCCTTCTACTTTGGTGTAGATACAGACACAGAAAAACGGAATGTGAGAGATTGTTTGTCATGATCACCCGCAACAAGTGTAGATCATTTTCATTTGTTGAGCCGTACTTGAGGAGGAGAAGTCGCACCAAGCTTGGGCAGGCATCGCAGATGCTGACTAATGAGGCAGCCTCAAAGGCAGGCGCCGTTGCTCCAGGACATAGAAAATGCCAGTCAGAAGACAAAACCGCCACCAGGCTATAGCAAACCTTATATAAGCTGTCATAGAAGCATCTACACAAGGACAGAACACCGGTATGCGATCTTTGCGGTGCAAAACCGTGAACTACAGCCTCAATTTATGCTGCGGCTGTGCAAAAGCTATTGGATTTGATCTTCGATGATCTCTATCATCGACGTATGGCACAGTTGGCTGTCCCCAGGCTTTCCATACATTTTGCATAAGGATTTGTAATTATACGGATGAGCAGCGCATCGTACGTCGCCCACGAACCGTGTTGAGCTCGAATTTATTCCGCATTTCTGCGGATTATTCTGAGCTCCATTGCTCTGTCCAAGTCATAATATGTGTCCTGGTGTGTTCTCCTTTATTCTACATGGACGCCATTACTGTACCGTGCATACTATAACCCCTCGACCTCTTTCCATTCAGTCTACCATTTTCTATAATGTTTGACACTTCTGGGATTTGAACCATTGCACTCACTCGCTTTTCACTTGTTTGTTGATTTCGACTTTGTGGCTGTTCTACTATACAGATGTGGCTGTATTACGTAACACAGGCCGTAGACAGTCCGCCTCGTCGAGCTCTAAGTCCCTAAGACTTTACAGAGCTCGACTTAGGTGTGTATCTTCGCTTTCTTGAATATAAAGACTTTACAGAGCTCGACTTAGGCCTTTGGAATCGCTCTGAGGCGCACTGCAGCCAACAGTTACCACCACCCACATCCTCATTGGGTGCCGGGCTTGGAGTCCGGGACCTTGTCATGGAACCTCCCGCACCTGCAGAACGATTGTCTGGGCCAACCTCTTCGGCAGGCTCAGGATCCTTGTTTGCGGCAGGGGGCTGCTGCTGGTCAGAGGTCGGGCCAGTTTCCTCCGTAGCCGGATGGAAACCGTGGGTGCCCTTGGCCGTAGATGGCATGATGTGCACCATCAGCTCGTAGTACGGCCAGCCCTTGTTGCGGAACTTCTCTGCTCCAGGATTTTTCTGTGCATTTCTTAGTCAGGCATATCACAGGCATAATACAGGCTTACCTTAACATAATCCTGCCAGACCCATTCCAAGTGCTTGTCAATGTCCGCACCATGTTCAGGGTCCCAGTGGAAGCCAGACTGGCTCAAGGACATTCTGAGAGATGCCACCCTTCCGATTATGAGCATTGTGCCGATCCTGTGCATCAACAGTGGCGTGAATTCATCTGGGTCCCGCCCGTCCATTGCTCTGACAGCATTGCGGAACCATGGGAAGAAACACGGGTTGTTGCGGACTCGAGACGGGATTTGATCATCGGCAGAGGGAAGGCGGACCCATTTGTTGTAGAAGGCTGGTCCTGCAAATACGGTATTACATATGACACGCCATAGACAGTCTGCCTCGTCAAGCTCTAAGTCCTTAAGATTTTACAGAGCTCGACGTAGACCTTTGGAATTGCTCTGAGGCGCACTGCAGCCAACAGGTTATGAGCCCTGTCAAAGGCCTCAAGCTCGATGCCTCGGAATGTCAAGAACTGCGCAATTTCGAGAACAGGAGTGACCTGGCAGCTGGGGAGATCTGGGGGTCTGTGGAGAGGGAGCAGCAGGCACATCTGGAGGCGATTAAAAAGACAATCCTGAGGTGATTAGAGACAATCCTGAGGCAATGTGGGTGAAGCTGGAATCTGTGCACATGCAGAAACGACCTGGTACATGTTTTACCACACTCCTGAGCCTCTCCAAGGCCGTGGACGAGTCCCTTTCGACGCAAGCTTCGCAGCTCAAGTCCGATATAAAGGTATTTTGTCCCCAGGACTTAGACATTGCCAAACTCGACAATGAGCTCGTCATCAAGGCTCTAAACCATGTGCTGCCCACCAAATATGCTGCCCTTCTTCATCAGACCCTCTTGCTGGACAACACCCTCACACTTGAAAAGCTCCAGGACACATTTGTTGCACTCAAAAACCAGCCTGGTGTGTTGTTGACGATCCCTGTTCTCTCCCAGGTTGCTGCTGCTGTCATCTGCGGTCGCTCTGGTCACTCTGAGGAGCAGTGTTTCTCCAAACGCAATGCTAGCATCACAGGTGCTTCTCCACACATGATGCCTCACCGCCACTGGTTTTGCTCCTACTTGCCCCATTCATCTGTAGTTTTTTAGCCTGGAGAGAGGGACACAGTTTTACCACCAGCTGTTGTACTGCATGACATCCTTCGTGTCCCTGCACTTGCCAGCAATTATAGTCTGTTTTCCACCTCACATGCAAGAAGGGCTATGTGGTTGAGCTGCAGGCTGCAAATGCGTCTTTCTACCAGGACTGCAAGCTGCACTTTGAGGCACGAGCACAACATTGGCTATTTGCTAGGCCAGACTGTGTCTCAGAAAAAGAATGCATCGTCCGCTTCAATGACCTGGGATCTAGAGCTTGCACTTTGGCACCAGCGCTGCTCACACGTCAACCTTGACGACCTCCGCTTGGCACACAGATTTGTCTCCATCGCCCTCGTCCAACCAACCTCAAGGGCACGCTCTCTACGTCTATGCCGGAGGGGTATGTCCACTGGATGATGGTTTTCTGCAATGCTTCGAGGTTCTGGTTTGTTGCCTTCCTGAAGTGCAAAAGCGACACATTCTTTGTGTTCCAGGCATTTGAGACGTACAGTGGGAACACACTACGCCTTGGCCTGAAGGCTACGCACGACGACAAGGGTGGGGAGTACATGGGAAAGCAGTTTGTCAATTTTTGTACTCAGCACGGCATCCAGCATCAGCACACTGAACCAGATGAACCCAACCAGAACCATTGTGTTACAGAGCGAGCCAACAGGACGATTGCTGAGGGTAGAACTGCCCTCTTCGTTCAGTTGAAGCTCCCTCTGTCATTTTGGGCCCACACCGTCTCTGCCTATGTCCACACACAAAACCACATGCCCACATTGACCCTGCAAACTGCCTGGAAAGCCAATGGGCACAAGCCGGATGTCTCCTACTTCCGTGCTTTTGGCTGTCTTATCACAAGGCAATGCAGCCACACACCAGGAAGTGTATTTTTGGCAGCTATGGTGAGGGCACAAAGGCCTGGCAATTCTGGGACCCTGCTGCAAAGAAATTCATCATTTCGTCGCATGCTGTCTTCGACGAATGCTGCTTCCCTGGTAACTCACCCTTCATTAATTGTTTTGCCTTCCCATCGATGAGGTCGACGTCCCCGGCCCTGCTGACGACGATGGCGAGCCCGCTGGAGACGTCCCTGATGCGCCAGAGCTGCATGATCAGGGGGGAAACAACTCTGATGATCCTGCACCTCCTGCACCTCTGCTGCAAAATCTGTTGCCTGTGCCCCAGAATGTCTGCAAAAGTTCCCTTAACCATCCTGCACGTGCACTCAGCCCTCCTGCACCTCCTCTGCCTGCGCCAGGATCATCGCATCCAGCAGCCCGTCGTCAGATGGATAACTATGACGAATACAGGCCATATCCTGCACCTTCACGCAGACTCCCAGTGTGTTCTACGTGTTTTCAAGGCTCTCTGAACAATGACAACTTGCAGCTGCGAAATCTCTTGCCCCAGAATTTCAGGCTTAACTCTCAATCCCCTGCCTCAACACCTGAGCCAGACCAATGCAAAGAAACACATCAGCACAATTCTCCATCGCCTGATCCTCTCATTGATGCACCACTATCTCCACCTGCTGCTATGCCTGCTCCGCCTCCAGAGCCTGTTTCTCCACCCTCTCCTACCTCCAGCGACGACGAACTTGATTTCTTGCGTGGAGACGGACACAAGGATGCCCTTGGCTGCTCGCTTGAGGCAATGATTGCAGGCGTTGAGCACGTGTACTCCGCTGAGCGCAAGGATTTCTTGTCCTATGACGAAGCCCTCGACTTTGCATCCGAGTCTGTGGTTCAAAATGTGTGCAAGCGGACCAGGGACACTTTGGCGAGCCTAAGACCTTTGCAGAAACAATGAAACAACCGCCAGACGAGCGAGGGAAGTGGCTCAAGGCTGCTCAGGACGAGGTTTAGTCCCTTGTCAAAAATGGGACCTTCGAGCTCATTCAACTGCCCCATGGACAAAAGCCATTGGCTCACGGTGGGTTTTCCACATCAAGCACAATGCTGATGGCTCGATTGAGTGGTACAAGGGCCGACTTCTTGCCAAAGGCTTCTCCCAACGTCCTGGCTTTGACTACAACGAGACCTTTGCTCCTACACTGAAGTGAGCGTCGATTCGAGGCATTCTTGCGCTTGCAGTGCAGGAGGACCTCGAGCTCCAGTCCGTGGACATCTCAGCCTATCTCAACGGCGAGCTGAAGGAGGTGTACATGCAGCAGCCAGAGGGCTTTGAGCAGAAAACTCCGGACTGGGTGTGGTGTGTTTTGAAGGCCCTCTATGGTATAAGCAGGCTGGACGTTGCTGGCATCAGAAGCTGCACGAGTTACTCCATTTTTTGCGGCTGATTTGCGAGGACAGTGTCTGGGTCTACCTTCGAGATGGAGTGCACATCATCATCCCTGACTTTGTTGATGACATCACCATTGCTGCAAAGTCCAAAGTGGTCATTCAGCACATCAAGGACGGCCTTTGTATCTTCAAGCTCAGGGATCTTGGCCCAACATCTTGGCTCCTAGGAGTCAAGATTGAGCACAATAGGGCGAAGCATTTGCTCTCTTCGCAAACTGCAACCCTGTGGGCACCCCAATGGAGCCTGGCCTTTGTCTCAGCGCAGATATGGCTCCCAAGACATTGTCTGAGGTCAGGGAGATGCAGAATATCCCATACAATTTGCTGTTGCAACTTGTCCAGATATTGCATGCACTGTGTGGGCAACCTGTGGCGGGTTTTACAAAGAACCCCGGCATGACACATGGAAAGCGGTCAAGCACCTCTTCTGGTACATCAAGGGCACCCTGGACTACAAGCTCACCTACTCCCCTTCATCCGGTTCCGAGCTTTTTCAAAAAGCCTCCTACACCAATGCTGACCATGCTGGCTGCCCCATTGCAACATTGGGAACAGACTATCCCAGCTCTGGCAAGACCATGGAAGACAATGTATGTCAGATATAACAGACTGATACTTACTCTGAACTCGCTCTGTTTTCGCCAGCAGAATTAAGCCAGGATTCCAACAGACTTCACAGGCTTGAAAGACTGTTTCTGTCTGACAATGGACAAGTAAGCTGTCGATGGACCAACTGTTGTACGTCGGGGCCGTGAGGCCTTGTCGTTTGTACATCAGATGTGTATTGAGGTATCATAAAGCACAGTCAATTAATGACATTGTCCTGCATTGACTGTCATTGAGACCGCCTGACCGTACTGACAACAACTTGGTCCTGTAAGAGATGAGTAGTTCTAACTTTGTATGACACAACAGCCTGCCAGCAGAATGCTCTGTGTTGCGCATGATCGCCTTTTCCAATACCGTGACAATGAAACATTCATACTGATCCTTTGTACTCAGATCACTCAGTGGAACACTGCGGAGCAATCATTGTATTGCTATATTGACATTACAACATGCAAAAAAACACTACAGATTACATACGGCTACCACACGCTCAGGCAGTGGCCTGGTTTGCATCTGCCCCCGTGCCTGACATGTTCATCTGTGGACCCGGGTTTGCATTCACCTCCTCAGAGTCCGGCGGAATTGTGGTTGCCACTGCCAGCACTGACTCGGATGTTAGGGCTTCAACAGGGCTCACTAGAAGTGCCGCCTTCTGCCTGCAGAATTGTGCTGTCCTGAAGTTCACGTTGCAAGTAGGCACACTTGGCAGCACTCATGGCTCCCAAGAATCCAAAGGTTGTTACACCAATTGCAGTGGATTCGAGACACTCTCCAAAGATGCGGCTCCCATGCAAGTTGTTAGGCAGCACTTCTTGCAGCACGTTGAACCAGTTGTGGACTACATGGTAGACCTGCGCTGACTTGCACAAGTTGCTGAATTTGGTGTGAGTGTCGCACCTGAAAGGCTGAACAGTACCTAGAGAATGAAGGAAAATCAATACACAATCCTCAAATTAGATAGAACATTCAACGTACATGTGTCACAGCATATGCAATTATCACAGCAGTGACCTGTGTTATTGTTGGCTGCAGTGCGCCTCAGAGCGATTCCAAAGGCCTAAGTCGAGCTCTGTAAAGTCTTTATATTCAAGAAAGCGAAGATACACACCTAAGTCGAGCTCTGTAAAGTCTTAGGGACTTAAAGCTCGACGAGGGGACTGTCTACGGCCTGTGTTACGTAATACAGCCACATCTGTATAGTAGAACAGCCACAAAGTCGAAATCAACAAACAAGTGAAAAGCGAGTGAATGCAATGGTTCAAATCCCAGAAGTGTCAAACATTATGTAAATGGTAGACTGAATGGAAAGAGGTCGAGGGGTTATAGTATGCACGGTACAGTAATGGCGTCCATGTAGAATAAAGGAGAACACACCAGGACACATATTATGACTTGGACAGAGCAATGGAGCTCAGAATAATCCGCAGAAATGCGGAATAAATTCGAGCTCAACAGTTATGCCATGCAACTCAGCATTACCAGCATGTTTTGCAGTACCCAAAGTTGCTGGTTTGGACAGCCCAGTTTGCATATGGAATGCAGCAGTTGGACCCATGAAGATAAAGATGAGAGACACACCTGCACAATCAGGCAGCCTCAGAGGAGGCCAACCCAACGCATACTAACAGGGTCGTAGTGTCCAACCCAGGGTCACCGTCAATCATCACCTCGATCTCCCACATGACCAACCTTATCAGCGCTAGATACCTGATAGGGTAGTCAGACCTAAGATGCTCGCATGCACAATTCTCATTGCACCCCGGGGGACCCCGTAGGTCCTCCGCCCTTTTCCTCTTTCCGGTAGTAATCCCCGTTGACCTAGTCCCTCTACTGTAAAATCCCTTCAGCCACTGATGCACCTCAGCCACTGCAGCCACCTCAGCCACTTCAGCCACCTCGGCCACAGCCGCCACAGCCACATTGTGCATGACGTCGGCGCAAGTTCCCCTTACATGCCACATAATATATCATTCTATTCGCGTTTTTTTGTAGCATGTTGTCCCTGATGTGTACCATACAGGCTAATGACTTCAGAATGGCTGTACTTGCTCTAAGTGCCAGCACTTCAACTTCACGTGACGAGACCACCACCATGCCTGCTGCCTGCCATCCACTGCCCACCGCCCACGAAGTACCAGACCTCTTGGGATCCATATGTTAGTGCATGGCAGACAAATCAAGCCCATCAGGGCTATGCTTATTCCCCAGATGGCCGTGCAGAACAATATTAATTAATTATGAGGACATATATGCAGCAAGATTGACAGTCCATACAACAAGTACATCACTGCCTACTGGCCCTTATGAGCATGGGGTTTTGAGGCCTGTCCCACACACTTCCCGTCAGGGCCGCACATGATAAAGTTACCACCCCCCTCATTGTTTGTCTTGCTGTTTGTCTTGCACCGTTTGCTCAGCTTCATGGCAGCAGAGGCACCCTGTTTCTTCGACGGTGCAGCAATGTTTGTGAGAGTAGAATCAACAAGGATGGGGTGCCCATCAGCGGCAACAATGCCAGGGTTCTGGGAGGCAGCAGCGGCATTGATGGGGTTTGCAGTCAAGTCAACAGTTGTTGGTGCAGAGGGCAGAGCAGGTGGACATGCCAGCATGGGCCAGCTCAACACTGATAACATTGGGTGCTGGCTGGCACAACCTTGTTGTATGCCAGCACAATGTCGACCAATGCTGGTGTGACATTACCGGGTGATGGTGCAATGTGACGTGCAATGTTTGTGGCCGGCAGAACACTGTTGACGACAGGTGTAGGTGTGATGTTTGTGCCTGGTAGGGTACTGTTGACAGGTGTGGGCACGACATTGGTGACGGCAGTGGTGGTGAGAGAGACAGAGGGAGATGTAGGAGTCTGCAAGGAGGACATACCACTACCCCCGCACACCGCTAAGGCCACAGCTAAGGGCATCTCAGGCTCGTCCTTGTCATCAGTTTCCTCAGCCCCAGCAGCATCTGACTCCGGGTGGTCTTTCACCTATTTTGCCCATTCCTCACCCTCCAAACGATGCCAGTGTGTTGTACCTGAAGACCAGCCGGCGGATACAAGCTCCACCTCGATCATGCTCACAAGCTTGCTTGGCGCGCAGAATTTCATGCCCAACGGGTACCCACGGATGATGACATGATGCTTTCGAGTGATAGCCTTGCTGATGTTCACATAATGCATCTGTAGAACACAATTCTTCTTCTACAATGTGGTGTCTACAAGTGACGTGTATGAGCATCAAGTCATACATAGAGCATAAAGACTTACTGAGTTTCTTGAGTACCAAGATCGCAAGCTCCTTCTTTGCTTGGAGGAGTTGTTGCTTGTGAGGTTGCACAACTTCTGTACACATGGTTAGCTAGCTTTTGTCAAGATCTATACATGAACCTTACCAGCTTCCCCACAGACTATATAGGCTTCGAGTTGCGTAGCAAGGAGTGCAAGGGGACAATGCATGAAGAGGTTAAATAACATTGACAGGCCCTCGTGGGTGAAGAAGACGTGCGGCTTTGTCCAGTCCTCCGGTGATCCACGCATGTTGATGGCAAGACTTTGCAGGCCAGTTCTATCAGCTACCTCCAAGAGCTGAAAAGGGTTCAACAAGCCGTATAGTTAAACTACACAATACTCATCCACATACCATCACCTTAGTGGTAGCAATCTTGTCCTGCATGTCATGGTGCACACTGAGCCTGGTTTTGCACTGGGCATAGCACTTACTGTCCCGCACTTCCTGCAAGTTCGACTTGTAGTCCTTTGTAGCCTTCTTCTTCTCTTCCTCGCTCATTGCATTTCACTTATCTGCTAGTTCATCAACAAGGTCGCAGCAGTGAAACTTCTTGGCGCTTTCAGGAAGTGCTCTGCAACAACATGTCAGTGATAGCAGGGACAATAAGCTCAACATACAACATACCATTGTTGTGGTTCTTAACTTCCCCGTGGAGGTATGTGATCCAGTGGTTGATACAGCGGCGGTTCAAGTGTATGTTTGGTTGGTGGAGGATAAGCCAATATAAATCAGCGACCTTTTGCTTCTTGCGCCTGTAACATGAGTGCATGGTCACGACGTATTCCCACACAGCTTCCTGTGCCTGTTGGACTGCCTTGTTTATTGTCTGCCTCCATTCACACCGCTTCTCTGCCTTTGCAAGAAGGTCAGCTGGAAGGGCAGACCGGCTGGTTGTGCTTTTATTCCTAGAACTTTGTGTGCGAGGCACAACATTTGCTGGCTTCTTGGTCATGCACTGAATTTGTTTAAAAAGAGTAAATTTGTGTACAGACATTGTTTCAAATACATTCCGGGGAGATGAATGAGGGGGTGAGAGACACGTTGCAATACTGAGCACTGAGCATCAACAGACTCGGAGTGGTTCAACAATACCAGATTCCCAGCACGTGATCTCCTACTGAGCAAGACAGTCCTCCACCAAACCTAATGGTACTCTGGGATCATCCCATCATTGTAGTGAGCCAACCAAATGATACCAATGATGGCAGGGATTGAAGGTCAGGGGACAGACAGTCAAACACCACGTTCATAGGTACTCCATTTCCGCCCTTGGTGCCCCATGCTCCACAACACGGTCAAGGAAGGACTGCTTGGTGGTAGAGGAGCCATAGATGCGAGCAATATGCATTCGCAACGGTATGTCCCAGCCATGTTGGGCGAGGTAATTGTCAGTGCACGATCCTAACATCGGGATGCTGATGTCATTGTCAATGAAGCGTACATCAACCAAGCTGCGTTTGGCGACACGTGGGGCATAGCGGGAGACCAAAGCTGATGGCCCAGAAGCTGCTGAAGGGTGTGGTATCCTTGGCAATTGCAAACAAAGCAGTGTAGGAGACTTCAGAGCTGATTGGGGCGAGTTACCACCACAACTGTGAGGAGCAGGGACAGCAGCTGTAATATCTCACACTCGCTGCCAGAGGATACTGTGCACCCAGATGACGAGTGAGAAGACTTGCTTCTCACTCGCTTGGCGCCAACCTTTATGAGGTTGACACAGAACACACGCAAACTAGCTAAATACATGAAGTGATGTGATAAGTCTGTAGAGGGTGATATATTTACATAACATGTGACAGCCCATTACACTCCCCCCCACTGGACATGATCCACGGGTCCCAAGAATATTCAGACCAAGGAAAAGGGTGTTGGCTGCAGTGCGCCTCAGAGCAATTCCAAAGGCCTAAGTCGAGCTCTGTAAAGTCTTAAGGACTTAGAGCTCAACGAGGCGGACTGTCTACGGCCTGTGTTACGTAATACAGCCACATCTGTATAGTAGAACAGCCACAAAGTCGAAATCAACAAACAAGTGAAAAGCGAGTGAGTGCAATGGTTCAAATCCCAGAAGTGTCAAACATTATAGAAAATGGTAGACTGAAGGGAAAGAGGTCGAAAAAATATAGTATGCACGGTACAGTAATGGCGTCCATGTAGAATAAAGGAGAACACACCAGGACACATATTATGACTTGGACAGAGCAATGGAGCTCAGAATAATCCGCAGAAATGCGGAATAAATTTGAGCTCAACAAAACGTTGAGTTTGTGAGGCGCCTGCAAGGTTTGTCTTTTTGTGTTATCTCAGTCTGTCTCTCATGCTTGTTGATGCACCTTGCAGCCGCTGAATGGTCCCCACTCTGTAGTATAGTCTCGCGTCAAGTCGATGGAAACAGCGCATTGCTGTCAAGCCCCGCCGCAAGTCAATGTCGAGGTAGTGCAAACGTTCCGTGTGCCTCACCACCGCCCGGGCTTTGCAGACGCGACAGACAAACATTGCCGTTCCCACGCTCAACACAAAGAAGACCGGGGAGTTCGCGACGCGACGTGCAAGGAACCGGCGCAACACTGCACCGCCAGCCAGCTACAACGGGCCTGCGTTGCCCGATGTGCCCGCATCTCAAACGCGAGCAACACATCCGGCCGGCTGGCCGGAGATATTGCCAGTGACGCCGCAAGAGCGTCACGGAGTGCTCTCCGAGGGATGGGGCGAGAGGGGAGAGGCTGAGCGCGGCTGAGCACGCACAAGTAAGGTAAGTCAGCTTGCTCACTCATCCTCAACACCGTGTTTCAAACACATCTGAGGACCAAGGATGCGGAGGTGATGTGCAGTTGTGCGGTCAAACTGCCCGCACCAGGCGACATGCACGCCGACCCACAAGTGGGCAGGGCAAATGCCCCACACACAATGACAGCCAATGAATGGATGCCGCGCGTGCAAGGTCAAGCGCAAGCAAACAGCGGAACGGGTAGGGGCGAGCTCAAGACCGAGCAGGCTGGCAGTGAGCAGACAGGAAGGTGAGTGCGACTATCCTCACCCTATGTGCTCGCGTGTCTCCACACATGCCTCCCTTTGTTCCGGTGCAGGCCCGAGCACTCACTTCCTCTCCATCTTGTCGTGTTCTCGCTCCAAGGGCCACACCACTCCCGGCTTCAAGTTCTCGACACGTCAAGCCCCACCATCTTGCAGTCATGCACTGCAAACTCCCAGTTCACACATGGCAACCGGCAGTGGGCAGGGTAAATGCCCCAAACACAAGTTACAACGACAGCTGACCGACGGGCGCGATGTGCGCAGCACAGGCTGCACAAACCGTGACCGAGGATGCAACGCTCGCGATCGCCCGTCCGCATGCGGACGCGACACACTCTCGTCCATGCAATCGCCTTCGTCCTCGCCTCCTCGCCGCCTGACCCTCGCCTCCTCGCCCGCCTGACCCCCGCCAATACCCACACCCGCAGCAACCCGCGAGACCCGCGGATGACCTGTACCCACTGGGTGGGTATGGGTACAGATAAGCCTCTGGACACCCGGGGATTTCCCCAGGCAATTGACTACCTGAGGCTCTTGCACACTCACTGTCTTACCGTGTCACTCAGCGCTCATCTACTATGCCTCGTTTGATATGTAGTAGTAATAGTGAATAAATCCAATATATATAACCTTGTGCCGCGTTTTTGCCTAGGGCACTTGTTGATCAAACATCAAGACCCCTTCCTGACAGTGACAAATCGAGACGTAGATCTCAAATGTCTCGGCCTGGCAGAACAAGGTACACCTCATGTGGTGCACGGCGCTAGTACAGACTGTACAGTAGCCAGCGCACAATTATGTATGAGCCACCCTGTAAGTAGTGTGGATTTTGTAACACGGTTTTGCACTAACCACCGTGATTTATGTATGATCCTGCCAGCATCTGGTGTCGCCTTAGTGGCTTGAAGCCAGGATCATTGTCAATGCAACCTGGCCCCAGCCTACTCTGACCACAGAGAATCCCTCAGTCTACTACGAATGGCTGCAGCGCAATCAGAAGGCACAAGGGTCGATCTGTCTTTGCCTGACGTCATGCGTCAAGGCGGCTGTCAAAAGCAAGGCGACCAGCAAGGCGCTCTATGACAAGCAGACTCCTGCTGGTGTTTACAAGGAGTTCAGGACAGCGATCAATGCTCAGATCCCTCCGAACGAGCACCCAAACCCGACGTTTGCTAACATCGCAGCTGCTTTTGACAAGCTTGCAGGCAAAGGGATCAACATCCCTGCTCCATTGCGGGTGCTAAATGTGCTGCCCTCCTGGTATGACACCGTCGTCACCACGATCCTCCAAGCCAAAGAGCTTACGGAGATGAAGATCAACTATGTCTGGGAGTCTGTTGTCATTGCCTACGAGCAAGGTGGCAAGCAGGCATCATCTTCACAGAGCGTGAAGAAGATCTCTGCCGTTAAGCGTAAGCACGGCGAACCAAACTTCAACCAGCAGCAGCAGCACCAGGATGGCAGCAGCAGCAGCGGTGCAAAGGAAGGTCAAGGCAAGGGCAAAGTTAAGTCCTGCGCCAACCAGGGAGATCATACAGATTCTGCGCATCTTGCCTCGCAGGCGTCGATAGTGGGTCCTACCACCTCCAAAGTTGTTGATATAGCGCCTTTGGGCAGCAAGTCTCACACCGTCACCACCTGTCCCGCCAAAACCGGCCACAGCAAGAATGCTCACCAGTGGCTCAAGAGTGCCCTTGAGCTCGCCAAAGACATCGACGTCCCTGGCACCTCACAGCATCTCACAACGTTGGCTGAGGTTGTTGACAATTCCGCTCGCATTAAGGAGTACCTCTCCGACTCGGAGTCAGAGTCTCGGGCATCCAAACGCTCTCGTCATGGATCTGAAGTAGGCCATGCAATCAACGCGATCATGGACGGGACGTACAACTCGTATGACAAGGATGAAGGTCCTACAACTCAGGATCCACTTGATTGGGGATCAGATGGTCAGTACAACATTGATGATGAGCTGGCTAACGCCGCCGGCTTGGGGGAGGACTTTGATGCCGGGTCAGTCCCTTCAGCTTCTATTCCCAAGCAACCTACTAACCCTGCGCTTCATGCAGCCGCATGTAGTAGTAGATGCACTAGGTCTACTTTAAAGAGATGTAGTATTTGCAGTCGTAGTCGCAGTGTAACGAATGAATGTATCCGTAGTTCATTGCACAAATCAGTTGGTTGTCGGCATTCGCGCAATTTCGCTGTGTGCACCAAATGTAAGGGAAAAGCTAAGGCTTGGCATGAACCAGAGCCGGTTGAGTCGTCTGACTCCTGGATGTTGGACTCTGGAGCATCATTACATTTTTCCAACAATTTAGATGGTTTTGCTGAGATTGAGGACCTCAGTGAGCCAATCGTCTTGTCGACCGCAAATGGCTCTGCCGTATGCACAAAGCGAGGGACAGTCTTCTTGAACTTCGAGAATGATGATGGTAGTCATACAATGACCAGACTATTCCCCGTTTATT